CAACCTGGAACAGCTAGAGCAACAGAAGATACATCTTCAAAGAAAGATCATCAGGACACACCCAAAACAAAAATGTTGGTATGTCTGGCTACTACAAGAATAAGCAAGCTGTTCGCGGGAAACCATCAAGGCAAGCAATCAAGTTCCTTCAGGACAAACCCCCTCTAAAACTGAAACTCAAAGGGAACACACGAGCAGGCATGTAAAATTGCTGGCAACCACACTGGTCTACTGGTAAGTGGAAGATGGGGAAATGCATCAATGAAGAAATTAGCTGAGTTCAGTCACATTCCATAGACTCTTGGTGACCTGGAGATGAGAGAGAGAAGAGGAAGAGGTTGGTCCAAAGTGTGGTGAGAACTACGGAACTCTGAGCCCATGGACAAGGACACAGCCACAGAGCTTAGAGTGAAGCATCCAGCTGATATGAAGTGAGAGGAGACGCTGCACAAGAACACCCAAACTTGCAGATAGTACCCATTTGACCTAGCCTTGAAGGCTTGATACTCAGAACTCAACTGTTGTTGTTGTTGTTAAGTGCCGTCGAGTCGGTTCCAGAACTCAACTAGAGTAAGATAAAAACATTTTTAAAAAACAATTTTTGATAAAAGAAACAAGGGTAAATTGCTACAATTTGATGAACCTGAACTATACTCATGGAGGTAGTAACTCTAAATACCAACAGAGAGGGAAGGAGTCTTCACATCAAGTATCAATGCTATCCCCTCTGTACATATGTTGTAGATAGGGATTGGCAACTTAGACACTGGCTACCTAAAATGAGGGGGCAATAAAGGCACGAAGTGACTGGCTTACAAGGTTTCAAGGGGGAGTTTAGTTTAAGAGTATGTGGGAGAAGATAGAATTCCCACTGAATAGTTTTCATCTTGTCTAGATGGGTCTGGTAAAAAGAGATGAGTATAAGATTCTTAAGATTCAATAGTGAGTAACTGCTATCATGACTAATTGCGATGGTCACAATTGCAAAGGTAAAGTTTTGTAACAAAAATGGGGGAGCAGTTAATCTTACAGTCCAGAAAAAAAGAACTCTAGGACCATCAAAGGAGAAGAGCACAGGCGGAATACGGGACCTTATCCAGAGAAGCAGTGACACCACAGATGGAGACATAGATGGGGACATGGAGAGAGGGAGCAGCTGAGGACTCTGGATTCATGGAAAGAAAGGGACTAAGGGATAGTGGCCAGGAGACAGACTTGCAGAATGTGCCCTTTGGTGGTGTAAATTATTACATATGATTGTTTAACAACAAAACAAAAAAACTAAAGTGAATAGAGAGAAATACTGTTAACTGATGGTACATGGAGGGGATTGTAATCATTGTGATGAAACTAGTTGTATGTTTTGTTGAATGTAAAACGGATGATCTGCTCTGCTCTGTAAACTTTCACTCAATCCACAATAAAAAAGAAAAAAAAAGGTTTAGGTTAGAATTAATTTTATGATATAGGAAGAAGCAGAAGTCAGTGAAGAAAATAAAAGGTCTGATGAAGACTGCAGAGAAAGAGGAATTTGAACATCAGCAAAAAGAACTGAAGAAAGTCTGCAACCCCATCCTGTACCAGATTGCCTGGTGTGACACTGTGGGCTAATACGTCAGACTGCAAAGTCGTTTAAACTGCAAGGTCAGTGGTTCAAGCTCATCAGCTGCTCCTTGGAAACCCTCCCTATACAGGGTCGCTATGGGTCGGAATTGACTCAACGGCTCTTCACAACAACAACAACCAGACTGTTGGAGGCATGCCTGGAGGAATGTCTTGGGGCTTCCCTGGTGGTGGTGCCTCTTCTGGACCCACCACTGAAGAGACTAAGTAAACCAGTATCTGAGCATAGATATCTTAGCATTGTTCCACAGTAAAGTACTGAAGGATCCAAATTTATAGCACATTCAATAGCAGTTTTCAAAATTGGAAGTGCTACATTAAATTTCTGGCTATTCTCAATCCTCAAATCTAGAGTTGTGAGCATAGGGAAAGGAAGTAGCATTGCACTTTATTAGCACTGTATTGTAAGTGGAAAACGCAATCAACATCTTAAAGTTGTATTTCAAATTGGCAACATTAAAAAAAATCTAATAAATAATGCTAAATCACTGATTGTTGTTGTTAAGTGCCGTCAAGTCTATTCCGACCCATAGTGACCCTGTATAGGGTTTCCAAGGAGCAGCTGGTAAGCTTGAACCACCAACCTTGCAGTTCAAATGGCTTTGCAGTCTGGAGCATAAACCCACAGCGCCACACCAGGACTTCAAATCACTGATTAGCCTTGGAAATTTTTTATTTAGATCCCCATTTCATGCCATTCACCAAAATAATTCCCAAACAGTTAAATGTTTGGGAGGAAAAAAATATATAAGAAGAATTTTTTTTGTCTAGTCTGTAAATGAAAAAGGACTGGGTTTAAAAAGAAAACTCACAAAGGAAGACACTAACATAAGATTGGAACACTAACATGTTACACCTAATACATCTGCGCTCCAAGAACTTTGGCAGAGAACTTACCAAAAAAGAAATGAAAATAAGTACTAAAACATAAAAAAAGTTCTAATTCCCTAACATTCAAAAATACAAATTAAAACAAGGTACCACTTTTAATCTCTAGATTGGCAAAGGTGTTCTGAATGATAATAAATCCTGATGATATTTATGTGAGGGGAAAAAAATTCACATTCACCGTCAGTTTGGAGTGTAAATTGGTATGCCTTTTCTAAAAAGCCAATTAGCAACACCTAATGAGTTGCAAAATGTTCACACCCTTTGATATAGTACTCCATTTTCAGGAATCTTTTAAAAGACGCTCTAAAACAAAGGCAGAAATGTATGCACAAAATTTTCACTGCAGTATTTTAAATCAAAGTTAATAACTTGTAGCAAACTAAATAAACTTGGAAATAAAGTTATATAAATAATTTGAAATTATTTAATTAAGTTATAGTATGCTTATTGGATGAGTATTATGATGTCAATAAATTCTGTTTATAAAGAATCTTTAGATTATATAGAAAATGCCTATGATATAAAGTTGCATGAAAAAACATAATTACATCCATATAGCAGGGGATTTTAAAGTTTTATATGCATGTGCACACACATAGGTTTTCCCTTAGCCTACTTGTTTTACACTGTCATGAAAAAAATGACAGGAACTTCACCGAATTTGGAGGGCAGTCTGACCTACATACCATACAGGATAGGTAGCTCATAAACAACTCACTTTATAACTGACTAAGCAACCATATTTCTCGTCCAGAAGGTATTCTGGCACTAACCGTCTACACAGAAACAACTGTATGTAGAGTGTTCAAAAACAAATCAATAAATAACAGCAGGAACTTATTTAATAAGCATTAATGATTTCCCTGGAGTCCTGGTGTGGCGCTGTGAGTTAATGCACCAGACTGCAAAGCCATTTGAACTGCAAGGTTGGCGGTTCAAGCTCACCAGCTGCTCATTGAAAACCCTATACAGGGTGGCTATGGGTCTGAGTCGATTCAACGATTCAACGGTACTTAACAACAACAACAACGATTTCCCTAGGATAAAGGGAGGTTTTCTGCCTCCACAAAAATGCACAGTCTCAGCAAGGGATCACATTAAAGGGTCCCAGATAGAGTGATAGAAAATTTGAAACAAAACTCAAAATTATTTTTTATAAAAACAGATTTACTGGTCATAAAGAGAGTGGAGACCTGAAACTATGGCCCTCTTCAGTTCTGAAAAGGAACTCAAACTTGTGCCCCAATCTCCAGCCAAGCATTAGATAGGTATATAGGGGGGGGGGGGGGGGGGGAGTGGGGGGGGGGGGGGGGGGGGGGGGGGGGGGGGGGGGGGGGGGGGGGGGGGGGGGGGGGGGGGGGGGGGGGGAGACAACAATACTAGTAAGGTCTGCTCACCATGGAATGGTCAATCATTCAAAATCCAAAGGGTACATTTTTCAAGGACAAAGTTGAGAAAGAGTGGGAGGGTGGGCGGAATGCAAATAGGAACCACAGTGAGGAAGCCAATGTACTGCTGCTGCATGTAGGGGTACATAATCATTGAGATGAAACCAACCGCATGATTTGTTGAATGTAAAGCTGATGATCTTGTCTGTCAACCTTTACTCAATTCACAATAAAAAGTTTAATAAAAAAAACTTATTAGACAGCAATATAATAGCTTAGAGAATTTTAAGAAGTGCTTCAGATGCTTTTGATTTTAAGAAATAATTATTTCCATGGGGAATAACAAACAAATAAAAAAGATTCACTCAGAAACCCTATACAGGGTCCTTATGAGTCGGAACCAACTCAACGGCACTTAACAACAACATCAACAATGATTTTCCTGAGCAATAAAGGAATAGCCAGCAAACTATATATGCATAAGTAGATGTGCATTCATATACACACATCATAAAAAAGCTAGTAGGAAGTATACAAAAATATTTTTAACAGTGGTTTTTTGAGTAGAGGTATTCTAGAACTGGGTTAATACGGTAGATGCTAGATGAATGAAGCTTTTTAAATTAAAATTAAAATGAATTTAAATTAAATTAAAAATTCCTTTCTTCAATTTCACTAGTCACATTTCAAAGGCTCAAATCACCACATGTAGCTAGTGGCTATGGTATTGGATAGCACATAAAATATTTCTACTGTCACACAAAGTTCTTTTGGACAGTGTGGTGGTAGATTGTTATGTTCTTCTTTGTACTTTTTCCAAGTGTATTATAGTATGTATTGTAATAGATTCCTCTGGTAAACAGAAAAACAAAACATTGGCATTAGATGTGTAAGAGGACACACTCTAGAGAGTCTTGGGGAAATAACACTCTGGGGGAAGAAGGAGGTCACAGGCATGCTAGAAGAATAGATAAGGCTAAAAGAGACACAGGAATAATAGACATTCTGAGGAAAATAACGGACACAAATTCCAACAGCAGGGTGGGGAAGGAGGCAATTATAGCAAGAAGACACAGGTTCTTGTCTCCCTCCACTCACCAGCCATTACAGCTGCTGACCGCTGAGCTGGCTCAAAAGGACATTTCCCCCGGCCACTCTCAAGTCTTTCAACCTGCCGGAAGCTGGACACATCCTAAGACCAGAAGGGTGGAATTGGTTTAGGAGTCACAGGAAAGGTTCATGGTGAAAATTACTAAGACGGTCAGATGAAGGAAAAGCCCAACTCTTCATTCATCTCCCATTTCCCTACTACCACTCCCATATTCCAGTCTATTACTCCTGACCCCACCCTATGCCCCCCCATACACACACCATTCCTATATTTCCCACCTCTACACCCCTCTTTTCATTAGTTTCTCTTCTCTCAATTTCCCTAGAGCCCCAAACCCACATTCCCTGATAAAAGAACATCTAGGATGGTCTCATAAGACACTAAGAGGCAGAAAATCAGGTAGATTTTCCCCTGAAACACTGGAGAATTGTGGGTTTTGCAACTGGCTGTGGAATGTGTGACAGGATAAGGAGGACCAGGAAAGCAAGCAGGCCTCCTGAGGGCTGGAGTCCCACGGAAGGGTAAAGAATGCTGCTTCATAGTCCAAAGGCCTAAAAGAAAAGCCATCCTTACCCTAACCTGACCCCAAGGATGAAAGATAGGGCCAAAGTCAAGGATGCATTCAAGGGAGGGAGGGAATCTGCAAAGCAGTGAAGAATGACCTAAGACTTGGGTCAGAACGTGAAGTTTAGGTAGGTTAAGCACTTCTTCATCCAGGGAAATGACCTGGGTAGGGAATAAGGGATGTAAGAGTCAGCCAGAAGTTACCTTAGCCTAGAATCCAGCACTAAGAGAAGCTTCAAGATACACCGAAAAATAAATGTCAGGGCTGATTTCAACCTAGGTCTGAGAAGAAAACTAAATGTGGCTGATTGGAAATTAAAGTTATGGCATGGAATAGAAGGCTCGAGTTCACAAATAGGATGAACATATGATATGGCTGGAGACTAAGGATTTGATAATAGTTGGATTAGCAACTGAGCATACTATTGGCCCATTATGATTGCTTATCTATTTACTGAATACTGAAGATGGCTAGCAAGATTTTATTTTACCAAGAGAGCCTTAAAAACAGTCTGCTAAAATTAGATGTGATCTGAGTGCCCATAAAGAGAATATTGGGTCAAGAGCTTCTACTGAAATGAAATAACTCACAGAGCACAAGTACCTCACCTCTGTGGGAGTAGAAACATCCTAGCCTGAGGATAAAGATGGCAATTTGGTGAGAAATCACTAAAACATTTGGGTACGTTGGAGATGTGATGAATAGCGGTTACTTCCATTCTTAAAACTATTGCAATAACCTCCTTTCTCCTATACTGTCTAGCTCTATCTCCAATTTATTCTACATATCCACCCCAGATTAATTTTAGCTACTACCATTTGAGCAAGAAAGAAACAAAATGGCTCATGATTGTCTAAAGCAAAAACTTTTAGACCAACCTGTTTACGTTTTACTGCTTCTCAAAATGAATTCTGTTCTATCCAAACCAGATCGCCTGCTGTTCCAGCTCCATACTAAAACTACTTCCTTATATTTTACCAGTGATTAAAAGGGTGGTCTTTTCTCAGTTCTCATTCTCTTGAATCTTTATGCACCATTTTATATTTTGACTTACTCCCATCTGTGAAATACTCCATTCCTGATTCTCTTAAAATGCTATGCTCCTAAATTCCCTCTTCCTAATTGTTGTTGTTTAAGGAGCTCTGGTAGCGTGGTGGTTACGAATCGGGTTGCGAACCTCAGGTCAGCAGTTTGAAACTACCAGCTGTTCCGCAGGAGAAAGATGAGGCTTTCTGCTCCTGTAAAGATTTACAGCCTCGGAAACCCTGTACAGGATTACTATGAATCGGAAGCGACTCCATGACACATAATAACAACAACAATACTTGTTGTTTATTGTCTCCTTTGGTCATTTCTTTCTCACTCCTAGATGTATATTCTACGGGTCTGTCCTTAATCCTTTTCACATATCCCTCAAAGATCCCATTCATGTTGACATTACCAACCGGACCTTCTATGCATATCAAGCCGTAAAGTCTACAAGGTTGATCCCTTCCAAACTCTAGCTGTTTTTCAATCGACTGTTGGTCTTCTTCCCAGAGATTGCCTACCAACCCCTTAAAATTTAACATATCAAAACTAGTTATCTTCTAATTTCTCCAAATGGCATCACCATGTCATCAGTTTTCTAATCTTTAAGAAAATAAGCCTTCTATTAACTAGATCAGTTATGATTGTTGTAGAATCAAAGCGGTGTTTAATTAAGGGCTGAAAGGGGCAAGAGCATTCCACTATCTGAACAGTGAAATGCATTGTATCCTCATTGTATCAATCAGCACAATCTCTCAAAACTAGCTGTGGTGAAGATCAAGTCTCAAGCTGAAAGTCAGAAGTTGGTAGAAAGGTTCTCATTGAGCTGTGGGAAAGGAACCTATCTTTTGGCTTTGGTCAAGAAGGGTCAAGAGATATAGATTCCAGATAGTCTGAAAAACAAAGATAGCCACTGTTTCATGATATAGGTTTAACAACACAAGCAAATGAAGCCGGATGAGGTCTTCTGGACTGCATATTAGAATACAGACAGGATAGTGGAACAGCACCAGACAAACCTAAATTTGAATCATAGCTCTGCCTTTGTTAGCTACGAAATGTTAGCTATTGTGCCTAACCTTTCTAAACTTCAGCTTCTTCCTTACTTATAAGGTATAAATTAATAATACCTAAATATCATGATGGAGTCCTGGTGTGGCACTGTGGGTTAATGTGCCAGACTGCAAAGCTGTTTGAACTGCAAGGTCGGTGGCTCAAGCTCACCAGCTGTTCCTTGGAAACCCTATATAGGGTCGCTATGGGTCGGAATCGACTCGATGGCACTTGACAACAACAACAAATATCATGATGTAGTGATGAGAATTAAACTCAATCATGAATGCAGAGTATCTCTTACCGAACTTGAGACAGAGCAGATCGTCAATTGAATGGGAATTCTTGTTATCATCATCATCATTGTTGTTGTTCTTATTGTTAGAAGTTTAACATTTTAAATGCTTTACTAACTACTGGAGTTACATCAACAAAACAAAATGTTTTCTTCCAATGTCCAAAGACATTGGAGGGCAGTACCCCATATTGTTGGATTTGGTGGGTCCAGCACTTGAACTTCCTTTGCAAAAATGTTCATTTATCCATAATCATCTCTGAGCAAGTTGCTGTGTCTGAATAAATAAGTTAAAGATCTGAGATGAGAATTACATGGTCTCAGTCACCATTCTGGGTCATAAGAGGTTCAGCAACAAAAAAGGGGCAAGAACTTGGTCAAGCACACTGGGGTTGCCAGGAAGCAGAACAAACCAGGTAAAGGCCCCAGAGAATGTTCAGCAAGTCTACAAAGCAGACTCAAGGTTAACAGTGTTGACCTTTTTAGGGCTATGCTCTACTTTCTCGTACAAATAAGCCTCGATCAAAGAATGGGCCTTCATTTCACAAGCCAGGTACCTGTCAGAGAGGGAAAGATCACTGAAAGTGGTGGAGTGCAGGATATAGACCCTCTGGTTTCACTCTCAATTGCTAACAGTCTTCAAGAGTGGACAAAAGGTCCAAGTCATAGCAACCCTGACAGATATGTCCAGAATTTACCTTATCTGGCAACCATTAGGGTTTTACGTCAGAGAGTCAAGGAAGAATAGGAGGCACGGAGAGATTAACTTGGAATTATATCATTGTTGATAAGTCATGGCCCTCACAGCCTCGGAAACCCTGTGCAGGGTCACTATGAGTCGGAACCGACTCCATGGTACTTAACAACAATGTGCTCCCACAAGCCTGTGCAGACCACGAAAGGTTGCATATGGCAAAGACAGTACCACTGCCACCTTGTGAACTTTGTGAGAATTGTAAGGAAACAAGACTTAGAATTACCTGATGGGATATAGAGATTTTCAGCACCACTCTGAACTGGACAACCTTCCAGCCACCAGTCTCAGAATGATGGAACCAACATGCCTAGGTAGAGAGTCTATTGTACACATTGTAGAAAGGACTCAACATATGTCCATCTAGCCTCAAGGGCAACCCAGAGAAACTGACTGGGGCATCCTAAGCCTGGGTGTGACGATGGTTTGTGACAAAGAGGGGCTTGGAGATACAGTGACTACATCCAAGTAGAAGGGTCAAGTCACGCTCTCAATTAAGGATCCTGGTCAGAAAAGGAAATGATTCCTATTGTTCTATGGAGCAAAAAGAGAAGCCATTGGATACAAAAGACATGCAAAGCTTTGCACAAATGTGTGCTCTCAGAACTAGTGACTGACTACTGATAACTAATGATAAGAGCTGAGGATTCAAACACAGTAAGACCCTGCTGAGATGTCACCACTCCCATGGATCCATGTGGTGTGGCCACTTCCAGCATAGATGTCATCATGGATATAAGTACCCCAAGCCTGCCTGGGACACATATCCCTGAGGGTGGAGATGCCCACCATTTCAGTAGCAAGGAAGAAGATTTAGAAGAAATCATGGTTAACAGAGTACCCACTGTAAAGCAGGCACTATATTAGTGGGCAATGATCTCAGAAGCTGTGAGAGGAGTGGGGTCACAGCCCACAACAGAATGTGGTTGGCAGGGTTGGCGGGGGAGGAAGGTAGTGACATGCTATGTGAGGAAGAAACAGGCATAAGCTGCACTGATTAATAAATGGGCCCAGACTGCCTGAACAAAGCATACACAGCGCAAGGGAAACATGAGTTCCTAGTCTCTGTAAGCCTTTTCTGGCTTTATCCTCTCCCCAATGTAGCCAGCATCCATAACTTCTTTCACTCCCACTACAGTCCCCTTGACATTCTCCACACCTCGTCGCCTCCTCCCTCTATGCCACTCCTTCAGTGGCAAGCATCCCGTGAGGGCATCCCCTACCCCAATGCTTAACATGCATAACGATTGCTCTAATCATGCCCCTCCCCATTATCAGTCACAGTAAGCCCTTCCCACGAACCCTCCCGACCCTCATCCCCAAGAAACTCACAATGGTGCAAGCTCCCTCTCCCTCTCTTCCCACCCCTGTCACTCACAATAACCCCGCACTTCGGATCAAAAGCGAAGGTGCCACAAGTGAGGAGGTGAGAGGCATTGGCAATGGCGAGAATCTGGACAAAATTGTGACATTCGTCCTGGGGATCAGAGATGATTAGAGAGAATCAGAAGCAGCAGGTACAAGGAAAGGTCAGTGAGTTTCAGGACAGTTAGATACAGCTCTGGGATTAGAGATGACAGATGACAGGATAGCATGGTATTAGAGTTCCCGACTGGACCCACGGGATGGGGCACTTCAGGAGACTGACACAGAGTAACAGCTGGGCCAATGCCTCAATCGAAACTGGGGACAGGACCCAGATTCACACCTACCTCCTTCTTGCCTTTCTTCCTACAGTTCTGTCTATGCGCCTCAGGCACCACCCAATCAATCTGAGAAAGAAGGAGAAAATGTTTCCACCAGATTTCCACCCAGCTTAAGGGAGGTGAGACAATTTCAACTTCCATCAATTTGGAAACTTCAGAGACACACACACACACACACCCTCATGTATTGTTCTTTAAACTGGATGTCCTCCCCATAATGAAATCATGACCAATATTATTTGTAATAAAATATATCAGAATGTATCACATATATGTAGAGGAAAGTAGAAATTGTTTCAAGAAATACTTCTTTCAGTACATACTTTGTATATTGGGTCATAATATAAAATGTATTTTTTATTTACTAATGGGTGGTCACCAAGTTTGGCAGCTAATGCCCTAGGGGTGCTGTGATTCTAGTGATTCCTCTGCCTGCTGTCTGTCACCTGAAACCAGGTCACTGTGACCTCTTCTCCATCATCATGTACCTCCCTCATAGCCTCCCCAGCGGATACCCTAAACTGTCATCTCCTCCATCCACTTTCACCAATATTCCCCTCCTCCTACAACCACTGTTATGAAAATCACACATATACACCATGGCTATAGTGCTTTAGACTCTGAGGTTCTCCCCACTCTCAACTCTCACCCTGCGGGGTCTCTCCCCTGAGAAGGGTAGAGATAAAGCCAAAATGATGTCCCGTGCGCCAACATAAAGTGTGTGGGAAGCAGGATCCACAAGGAGAACAGAGTAATTATGAGTCTGAGGGATGGCAAATCGAGTGAGGTAGGAATCAGCCTCTGGCAAGAAGAAAGAGGAAAGTGATATTAACCGTTACTTCATAAGGGTTGAGTCCACAAGGGCAAAAACAAAGAGGCAAGTTTTGGTTTTCTTCCAGGTACCATTTATTTAGAAGTCATCAGGGGGAAAAAAGAGCTCTGACAGGCTGGCCATCTAAGCTTCCCCAGAGATCACTGATTGAGGCCAGAATATTTAACAGATAATCCCATCAATAATACTTTTTCTATAAAAACAGAATACTTTATTAAAATAGCAACATAATTATTAAGTCTGCAACTTCTTTTCATGGCAATACTAATACATAACTTGAAAATACCTATAGAAGGCTCAAATACTTTGCTATATTTTATTTTCTGTCATAACTTTATAATTCTTTTCACTTAGAATGGAAATGTTTCACTGTTTTCACCAATACACGAGGAATCTATCTTGCATCTCTCCCCCACATTTTGACTCCCCTTCCCAATTCCACCCAAAGAGAGTAGTAGGAAAAAATATATACCTTAAAAACAGACCATCCTGCATTTATATGTTGCTCTTCACTTACCAGCTGTATGATCCTGAGTAAGTTACCTGCCCTCTCTGAGCTTCACTCTCCTCATCTGTGAATATCACCATCCAGCGTTATTGGAAGAATTCAATGAGATAGCACATGTAGAAGCAATCAGCAGATAGTGCATGCTTCACAAATGATCCCTTTTCTTCCTTCCTTGGGCATATGTTCTGCTTTGAACAATTCTAAACCTCCTATCAGCATTCAAAGTTCTGATATGTTTAAAGATAATTTTTAAAGTTAGTATGAAGTTACCTTTTTAGCTCAACCTCTGGCTCTGAAGACCTTATCCCTGTACCACTACAACTCTACCCTGCCTGTTTCATCTGTTCATCTATCTTCAGAGGCCATGAGATGTGATGTATTAAGTGCCACCTACCCATCCTCCCCACACGCATACTCATCTCTGTGCTGTATCCAACCTACTCTCTCATGATTAGAATAAATGCTGGATCACCCAACTCCATTCCTACTCCTACCCCAGCTTCACCATGCCATCCAGACCTCTCTGGACGCTAGACATAAACCCAGCCCGACAATCTCAACTCCAGGTTAAGACTATTGCTCCAGCACAAATGGAAATCCCAGGCTCTGACCATGTAGCATGGGTATGGAGTTTAGATTGTAAAATAACATCACCAATTGTGATTTTTTTTTTTTTCCAACAGACCATACTATCAGTTTTACTAGTCCTGCCTAAGGTAATAACACTCAGTACCCTGAGAAGAAAACGAGGGCCATGACCACTCAGGCCTATCTCAGCAGAGAGCCTTGAAGTATGGATCACTCCTATTAACATTTTTAACTGTGTGGCTTCCTATGGCTCCTTCTACTTCTTTTTAAAGACCTATATTCCCTCAGTCCTTTTTCCTTCTGAAGGGTTTTCTATTCTCCGTGTAGGAAATGGGCAGAAGGAAGCAGAAAACTTGAAGAAGCTTGGAGAAACTAGAAGGGCTTAGTGAATTGGATTGTAGGGGAGGAGGGGAGAGACAGTAGAGAACCAGACTTAGAAATGTGAGGGTCTGTCTTATATATCAATGCTGTGAGCAGGGAACTTGGAGGGAGGTAAAACTGAAACTATGACTGGGGATGAAGGTGAGAAGCAGAGATATGGAAATGCTGAGTTGGGGATCTGAAGGATAGATAGTTTGAGAACAGAATGGGTGCCAAACTGAACACCAGGTGTATATAAGGGCAAGGGTTAGAGGGGATAAGGGCAAGCCCCCATCCCCACCCTGGGTCTCAGTGTTGGAGTCTGCACATTTAAAAGGTTCAATTCCCAGCGGTTCTGACAATAAGGAGCCGTGGGCGCAGCCAGGGCGTGTCGCAGGCGCCAAGGCGTGAGGCCTGAGCCAGGGATATGATGGAGGAACACAACGCCTGGGGATCCCGCCCGACTCTGGACCAGGTGGCGTGGGTGACGCGCGCTGAGGGATCTCTGGATGCGGGTCGGCAGAGCAGGTGGATGAGGGCATCTCTGGACTGGGGCCTGGGTGCCGCGCCAAGGGCTGAAGACACGCCTTACCTGAGATGGGAAGCGAGGTTCTGGGCACCGAACGGGGGACGTGGCCAGACACCTGGCCGCTCAGAACTATCAGCAACAGCAGCTGGAAGGAAGAGGCCAGAAGTGGCCCAGGGCCCAGGTAGGACCGTACGGCAGAAGCAGGCATCTTTGGCTCCGCCTGGGAGCTGGGTGGGACTCGCCCTGCCGCCTCCACTAAGGAGCACAGCGCCGCCGGCGTCAGCCCCACTCTGCTCTACACCGCCCGGCTAGGCCTGTGGCTACCCGACGAAACGCAGCCCCGCTTCTACCCTAAAGAAGGGACCAATGATTGGGCCGCTTTCTTTATCCAGCCAATCAGGATTAAATGGAAGCGGAGCTAAGGGGAGAAGCCCAACCCAGGTGGAGGCGGAACAAGACCCAGGTGTAGGTGGGAGTTCTGCTTTTGAACTGAGCTGCAGATGTCGCTCTAGGACCGGATTGCTGCTGGCAACTCTCAAAACTCAAATGCCTAGATTGGCACTCATTGTGAAATATTGGGTAAGTGGATATAGCCATCAAGTTTCTCAAATTATATGAAGAAGAACGTGGCATCTGGATTGGAGGAAGACTCGTTAACAGCCTATGATATGCAGATGATACACTCTTGCTGAAAGTGAACTTAAAATACTTACTGATGAAGATCAAAGGCCACAGCCTTCAGTATGGATTGCTTCTCAATGTAAAGAAGCAAAAATCCTCACAAATGGATCAATAAATAACATGATAAGTGGAGAAAAGATTGAAGTAGTCCAAGACTTTATTTTGCTTAGCTCTACCATCAACACTCATGGAAGCAACAGTCTAGATGTCAAATGGCTTATTGCATTAGGCAAATCTGCGGCACAAGACCTCTTTAAAGTGTTAAGAGCAAAGGTCAGTTTGAGGACTAAAGTGCACCAAACCCAAGCCAAGGTATTTTCAATAGCCTCATATGCATGTGAAAGTTGAACAATGAATAAGGAAGACTGTAAAAATTTATGCATTTGAATTATAGTGTTGGAGAAGAATTTTAATGGACTGCCAGAAGAACA